AATAAATGTTTATCATCTAACTAGGCATATCTAGCCCAATTAAGTTGACATACAAAATAACCATTGCAGGTTGAGGATGCATCTCCATGGTAGAGTCCTTGTCTAGCATGCCCAAGGACCTGGGTATGCTCCCCAGCACTGCAAACAAAACAAAACAAATAAACACAAAGTCCTTACTACATATTACTCTTGTTTTTTAGTTCTTTTAACAATTGCTCTTTATTTGCTTTTTTTTCTTTTTTTGGATGATCTGTGCTGGGGGGGTTGTGGTTGAACTTAGAGCTTTGCACTTGCAAAGCAGGCATTCTACCACTTGAGCCACACCTCCAGCCCATCTGATTATTTTGGAGTTGGAGGGGGCAGATCTCACAAACTATTTTCCTTGACTGGCCTTGAACTGAGATCCTCCCCATCTCAGCCTCCCAAATAGCTAGAATTACAGACATGAGCCACTGATGCCCAGCTTTTCTTTGCTTTCTTGTCAGTGTGACTTGAGGTAGATTTGAATATGACTGCCACAATTTTGGCCTCTGAAAAGTAAATCTAGAAGATTAAAAAAATTTATTTTGTATTGTTGTGCTGGGTGTGGGTACATTGTAGCATTTACAAAGTAGAGTATTTCTTAAAGAAAAGAAAAATTTATATAATGTTACATTGATTTTGCTTAAAATTTTGTCTAATAGTTTGTTGTTTTTTCAGATCATCAGGTTTAGGATGTTAGATAACTATTTTAGGACCAAGAATATGATGCACAGTATTTTTGGTCATTCTGGGAATTGAACCAGGGCTGCTCACAAGCTAGGCACATGCTGTACCATTGACCAACACTCCCACTGTAGTATAATACATAAATTCTATTTTTTAATAGTTAAAATGATAGTAAAGTTTATTAGGAAAGGAATTTAGAATAACAGGATAAAAGTGGGGAGAAATGGGGAAAAAAGGGAGAAACATTTCCTGCTTCCCATGCAGGAAATTGGAGTAAAGATTCCTAATACATGAATTCTTAAGTCAGTTCAGCCTCATTTTCCTACATTGAAGTGTTAGTATTTTTTAAAGTAGTCCCCAAATTTTATACATATTCTTATTCACTAGTTTATATTTTTTTAGCAAATATGTGAGCTAAATTAAGGCTGCTATATGAATTTGTAAATAAAAAAGTTGAAGTCATAGAGAAATTCATTTGTTCATTACTTGGTAGTAAGTCATCACCAATGCTGTATCTTCAGGTATCAAAAAAAAGTAACATCCCAGCAGAGGTTATTTCCCTTCATTATTTCTGTAACAGTGAAGATTATTGGTAATTACATTTATTTTGAGAAAGATATATTAAAGAGCTCTTAGATTAGGTATCTTTGCTACTGTATACCTACTTTTATGTGTGTGTGCCCACATGTGCTAGGAATCAAGTCCAGGACCTCACATCGCTACCATTTAGCTACACACCAACAAATTCTATTTGAAGTTTTTTATTTTGTTAAGACATATTTCCCAGACATTGAAAGACTTTTTACCCTGGGAATTCAGGCTCTAAAAGTCTACTGGGTTCTTAGAGGCCCCTCAGGGCTTTGATAGAAGGCTGTAGAGAAGCAAGCTGCCACTATCTCTTTACTGGTTTGGACTAAGTGTTCTTAATTTTTTTGTTCTCTAGGCTTTTGGGTTATATTTTGTTTGAATAAAGTTTCTGCAGCTTTTCTTTTCTTTTTTTTTTAAATTTAGCTTTTGGACTGGTGGAGTGGCTCAAGTGGTACAAGTGCCTACCTATTAAGTGTGAGGCCCTGAGTTCAAGCCCCAGTACCACCAAAAAATAAAAAAATTTAACTTTAAAGTTCCTCTCAATATTACCTGAAGATAGGTATTTTGGGGAAGGAAACCAGAACTTGAAGTGTGAATGATCTGCCTTTGAGTTTTCTGTTTGGCTTTATTTCAATTAATTGATTAATTAATTTTTGCAGTGAAAGGTAGGTTTATTTTAAGCCAAAATTAAAACTTTTGCTTTGCAGCTGGATGCTGGTGGCTCACACCTGTAAATCATAGCTGCTCAGGAGGCAGAGATCAGGCAAATAGTCCAAGACCCTATCTCGAAAAAGCCATCTCACACACAAAAAAAGGGCTGGTGGAGTGGCTTGTACAAAACAAAAAAAAACTTTTGCTTTGTTAAGACACTGTTAATAAAGGGCGAAAAAGAAGTTGGAGATAAAGTTTAGTGATAAAGCACTTGCTTAACATGCTTGAAGCCCTAGGTTCAATACCCAGCACAATAGAAGAATAAAAAACTTATCATAATGAAATGATAAGTTTCAGACTCAGAAAATGCTTATAAACCACATTTTCAGAAAAGAAAATATGAATAATAAAACAACAAAAAAAATAAAATAAACATACTTTTTTAGAAAGAAAAAAGAACTCTTAAGATTTAACAATAAAAATTGGGAAAATCTTTGAACAGATGCTTCATCAAAGAAGACTTAAGATGACAAATCAATGCGTGAATATATGCTTCAACATCAGTAGTCATTATGGAAATGAAAATTAAAATCTCAATATTTCTAAGCATCTATTAAAATGACAAAAATTAAAAACAGAAACTGACAATACCAAATACTGGGCAAAGATACAGATCAACTGGAACTCTTGCTGGTGGAAATCTAAAACAATACAGGGCTGGGAGTGTAGATCGCCATAGAACACTTGACTAGAATGTGCAAGGCCTAAATTTGATCCCTAGCATTGCAAGCAAAACTATGGCCATATAATGGAATACCATGAAAACTTATATCCATATAATTAACTATACACACACAACATGGATGAATGTCAAAGGCTAAATTATGCTGAGTGATAGAAATAAGTCCCAAAAGTTATGTACTGTATGGTTTTGTCTACATAACATTCAGACAAAAGCAAAGCTAAAGGGATGAGTAATAGCTCAATGGTTACCAAGGATTAAAGATGCGGGCTAGGATTCACCACAATGGGACATTGTGTAGGATTTTTTTTGGGGGCGGGGGGAATGTCAGAATCATCTTGTATCTTGATTGTGGTGTGGTGGTTATATGAATCCTAAATATGTATTAAAACTCATAGAACTGTACACATATATTAATTTCATGTTACTTTAAAAATTAAAAAAGTTAAAATATGCTGGGCACAGTGGCTTACACCTGTGCCCACCTTACACTTAATCCCAACTACTTGGGAAGTAGAGATTGGGAGGGTCATGGTTGGAGGCCATCCCAGGGGGAAAAAAAGGTAGTGAGACTCCATCTCATGTCATTTTTTTGGCAGGGGGTTGTGGTACTGCTGTTTGAATTCAGTCACTACATCAGCCCTTTTTTGTGATAGGGTCTCACAAACTGTTTGCCCAGGCTGGCTTCGAATCACTACCTTGAGTAGTGCCTGTAAATCTATAAACCTTAGTCCTCATAAGCAAGTTCTTCATATCCATGGGTTTCACATCTGTGGAGTTGAATGGATTAATTATAACCCAACATGTACAGACTTTTCTTTTGTCATTATTCCTCAAACAATACAGTATAACAACTGTTTACATCGCATTTATATTGTAGTAGATATTCTATGTAATAGAAACAATTTAAAGCATACTATAGCTGCTCATAAATTTATATGCAAATACTATGCTATTTTTATATAAGGGACTTGAGCATTCTCAGATTTTGGTATCTTTGGGGGTCCTGGAACCAATCCCCTATTAAGAGATGACTGTATTATGACTTTGAAAATCTCCACTCTCTCTTTCAAATTGGATATCCAATTTAGGGGATGTGTTAGAGCGCCTTCCTAGCAAGCTTTAGGTCCTGAGGTCAAACCCCAGGACTACCAAAAAAAAAAAAAAATTCTGCTGGGTGCTGGTGGCTTACTCCTGATATCCTAGCTACTCAGGAGGCAGAGATCAGGAGGATCATGGTTCAAAGATGCCACAGGCAGATAGTCCACCAGACCCTATCTTTAAAATACCCAACACAAAAAAGGACTGACAGAGTGGCTTAAATGTTAGAGTTCCTCCCTAGCAAGCATGAGGCCCTGAGTTCAAACCCCAGTGCTGAAAAAAAAAAATTCTTCTCAAGTGGGCTATTTAGCTGGATTTAGTGGTGCAAGCTGTAGTTCCAGCTCTTGGGAGATTAAGGCAGGAGGATAAAAAATCAAGGCTAGCTGGGGCTACAAAGCAAGACCCTGTCTCAAAACAACAACAGAAAAAGAGTGGAATATTTATTGGATTAATAATTGTAAATTTCTTTTTCATTAGAAATTAATACTTTCTCCAGAATTATCTCCATATTAACCTCATTTTTATAGTGAACATAATAATAAAACTTAAGATGAGTCCAAGAATTTTGGATTACCAGAAAGAAACCAATACCTTCTGAATCCGCTGCTGTAAAAATAAAACCTGGCCTTTCCTACTTTGGTGACCATTTGAGTTGCTAAATTTTGCCCTTGTTTTATGTTTTTTTTCTTCTTTTTTCTCATTTTTTTTAGTTTCTTTTTGCCCTCATTTTAGAAACATAAAATGTATATTTTAAAAAGAAAAATGAAGCTGAATGTGGTGGTACCTGTCTGTAATCCTAGCACTTAGGAGACTAAGGCAGGAGGATCCCAGTTTCAAGGCTGGATGGGACAACATAGCAAGTTCAAGGCTAGTCTGGGCTACATAGTGAGACCCTGTCTCAAAAACTAAGGCCAAAACAAATAAAAATGAAAGAAAGAAAAGAAAAATGTGATTTGTGTTGGAAATTTTCTCCTTTTTTTTTAACTAGCTGGGCACTGAGGTTTCTTGGGTCAAGTCTCCAACTCTAATCAAAGCAGCATTTTGGTTATACTAGATGGACACCTGCCATATTCATCTATTCTGTTACACATTGTTTCAATATTTCACAAAGATTTGTTCTCTTTTTTTTTCTCTTACTTTAGTGAGACTCTATACAACATTGTTTCCCATGTCAAAGAAAGCATTCACAGGGTAAGTATAGTTGCATTACAGAGAGTTAGAACATCTTACATTTTAAGAAGTTTCAGGATTGGGACTGGAGGAGTGGCACAAGCCATACAACACCTGCTTTGTGAATACCTTGTTTGTGACTGTGAAACCCTGAGTTTAAATTCCAGGCTCACCTAAAACAAAGCAAAACAAACAAAAAGTTTTATTGCTGGGGGCATGACTGAAGTAGTAGAGTGCCTGCAAAGCAAATATGAGGACCTGAGTTTAAACCCCAGTTCTACCAAAAAAAAAAAAAAAAAAAACCAAAACAAAACAAAGCATAATCATTGTATTGGCTTTAGTTCATGTATAATAGCAGTGTTTTAACTTACCATTTTTATAATCAAATGGCCATTCTCTAACTCAGTTAAATAAGGGAACAGTCTGAAAATTCTGTCTTAATTTTGGGGTTTCCTAGTTGCAGACATCTGTGGAAAAGTCTGAGGAACATCTCAGTTCAAGAAGCCAATCTATTTTGGATTCTTTGGAGACTGTGGCCAAGACAAGTGAGTGTCTCATGTTTGAGGTTATAGCAATAGAGAACACTGGTGATTGGTGAATGTGAACATTTTGACCCTAGCCAGGCTTCCCAGGGATATGACTCCATACAGTGTTTCAGATGAGAGGGTGGGTACATAATGTTATCACTAGGTAGTGGAACCTACCTCTGTGTAACAACACTTAGATCCCACTTAGAGGATTAAAGCCCTAATCCTGTACCTGGTAACTCTGCTGCCTTTGGGCAGGTACCTCTGCAGCGTTTCTCATCTTACTCCCTGAAGTGAATCAGCAGCCTTCATGAGCACCAAATGAGTTCCTTCTGTACTGTCAGGCATTGCCCTCTTAGGAATTAGAAATACTCCAGTTACCAGCTGTTCTTCTTGCTGCCTTAGTTTCAGTGGGAGTTGTTTTATAAGTAAATCATATAATCATTCTCAATGTCAGTTACAGTTTGTGGTTTGCAAAATCCCCTGCTCCACCAATTAGTGATTTACATGTAGATGAAACCATTTCCCTGGCCCTTATAAACAGAAGAGAGCCAACATACAATTCTCCTTAGGCAGATTTCTCTCTAGAACTGCCAGTTTCTAAGCAAAATAGAAAGCCGATGACTGTACATCTGTACTTGTTTGCATTTGTCTGTGTGTTTATTTTTTATTTTAAACAAATTGAAGTCAACTTATTCAAATGCCATGGAATGAATTGCTCATGATTTACAAAAATTAATGCCTTTGTGTGACTTAGAAATTAATCCCCATCTGTCTGCAAAGAAGCACTGTACTGTCTGTCTGTTGGCTTCCAACCTGGGTTTCCCACACACAGGGCAACTGTGCATCTGTTTGGAAACTGGTTCTGGAAGCTTAGGACTGTTATCCCACAAGAAGTAGCAAGGCTGAGCGTAAAAGGAAATCAGGGGTGCTTCCTTGTATAATGTGATAGAATAACTCAATTGTAAGTGCCCAAGGAAAGAATTCTGTTAGTTATGCTAAAATAACTGAAATAATAAACTTACAAGGAGGAAAGGTTTATTTTGGCTCACAGTTTCAGAGGTTTCAGCTGATGGTTACTTGGCCTTGTTGCTTTGGGCCTGTGGCAACATAGTACATCATAGTGGGAGTGCTTGGCAGAGAAGACCTGTTCACTTCTTGGTGGCTGAGACAGGAAGGGGGCCCATGTCCCAATATCCCATGTGTGTAAGGGCACAGCCCCAATGACCTTATTTCTTTCCCCAAGGCCCCTCCTTCTAAAAGTTCTACTACCTCCAAATAGTACCATAGGTGGGTGACCAAGCCTTTCACAAAGGGCCTTTGGGGGACACTTCCAAAGCAGCATACTCTTTTTGTTCTACATTCAAAACTGGGTGACAAGGGAGCCAATGGCTTATGCTTATAATCAGAGCTACTTGAGAGGTTGAGATTGGGAGGATTGAGATTGTGGTTCAAGGCCAGCCTAGGCAAATAGTTTTCTCTAGACCCCCATCTCCAAAATAACCAGAGCAAATGGATTGGAGGTGTGGTTCAAGAAGTAGAGCACTTGCTTTGAAAATATGAAGTCCTGAGTGCAAACCCCTGTCCCACCAAAAAGAGAGAGAGAGAGAGACGGAAAACATTGCTATTTAGGAACTCTTGTATGGAAGGATAACTAACATTTGTTCTCTACTGCAGATACCTACATGGATATCTGAAAAATATTTGGCTAATTGAGTTTAAGTACAGGAATCCAGCACATTAATAAGTATATAACCTCTTTCTAATTGTTGACAAGTAGAATCGTACTTGTGTTGAGAAGTAGGAGAAAATTTGTTTTATAAAATATTTTTACTTTTTGTAATGAAGAAATGAAATTTTTTTTAGAAAACTCATTTATTGATAGATTTAAAGGGTAGTACATTTTTGCAAAAATGTGGCAGTGAGAATGCCATCATAAAAAAGACAAACTTGAGCTGGGGACTGGTGGCTCATGCCTATAATTCTAGCTACTCAGGATGCAGAGATCAGGGGTATTGAAGTTTGAAGCCAGCTGGGGCCAATAGTTTGTGAGACCCTATCTCAAAAAAAATCATCATACACATACACACACACACAAAAATGGCTGAAGATGTAGGCCCTGAGTTCAAACCCCAGTAGTAAAAAAAAAAAAAAAAGAGAGGCAGAGAGAGAGAGAGAGAGGAAGAAAGAGAGAGAGAAACTTGTACTAAAAACAATCTGAATTCTTCATCGGCAATATTACATGACAATCAAAGTCCTCGCATACTAATTATTTCCTCTTTGTCTATATTGCCAGTCACCCATGCATCTTAACAAAAATAAGATTATCAGATAGAACATTCTATGAACTTTAAGATCACATTATTAGGAAAGTCTGGAAGATTTGCAAAGTATTATCATCCATGTGTGCAGTCTCATTTGTAATCCTTTTTAATTTTTTTAATGGTACTGGGGTTTGAATTGAGGACCTCATGCTTACTAAGCAGACACTGTACCACTTAAGCCATGGTTCCAGCCCTCATTTCCCATCATTTTTACAGTGATCATTAATGAATAAAGAATAAATTTGTAAGTTTATATATCAGGCCATTTGATTTCAACACAAAACTGTTACAAACTTTAGGTAAATACATGTTTTATAAGATACAGCTACCACTTAAAGAAATTGAATAAAATTCCAGAATTTAAAAACCAAATAGAGACAATTAAGTCTAGAAGCATTTTCTACCATTTATTCTTATTATCAAAAGTGCTTCAACTCTACTCGCAAAATAAAAACAAAATAGTACATATTGGACACATACATCATATTTTTCTTCCTATGGCTTTAGCTTATGCCCTATCCCACCAAGACACACACAAAAAAAACCAACAAAACAACTTTATTTGACCACATTCATAGAAAATGACACCACAAGAAATGAAGGCATGGCTGAAGCAGTAGAGCTCCTATTTAGCAAGTATGAAGCCCTGAATTCAAACCCCAGTACCACCCAACAGAAAGACAGAGACAGAGACAGAGCCGGGTGCCTGTGACTCACACCTGTAATCCTAGCTACTTGGAAGTCTGAGATCAGGCGAATCACAGTTTGAGGCCAGCCTGGCAATTAGTTTTGCAAGACCATATCTCCAAAATAATCAGTGCAAAAATGGGCTAGAGGTGTGGCTCAAGCAGTAGAGTGCGTGCTTTGCAAGCATGAAGCCCTAAGTTCAAATCCCAGACTAAAAAAAAAAATTAAAAAAAAGTTACACCAGGATACTCTGTAAAACAGAAGGTGCTGTCATCCGTTCTGTGTCCAAAGGATTTTTCTCCATGTCTTATACAAGGCATGTAACCATTGAACATGTTGTGTGCCAAATCAAAACATAATTTCAACCTATGTCATATCTCATAGAGATGGTGAACATAGTAGAAACTGGAACTTTTCCAGCAGGTTTTTTTTTTGCGGTACTGGGGCTTGAACTAAGGGCCTACACCTTGAGCCACTCTCCCAGCCCTCAAAGGGTATTTTCGAGATAGGTTCTCACAAACTATTTGCCTGGAGCTGGCTTCAAACCTGGATCCTCCTGATCTCTGCCTCCTGAGTAGCTAGGATTACAGGTGTGAGCCATCAGTGCCCAGCCAGCAGTATTTTTCTCAAACATTGTCAAAGCAGCAACTCTTTCTTTAAATCATAAGATTATCTCTTTATACGTAGTTGATCCTTGTTTTACTTGGGCTTTGTTCTTTCAAGCAACTGACTGATTTCCCTTCAACGGAATGTTTGTTTTTCCCATCAAAATTAAAGAGAAGAAGTACATTTAAAGTGATACAGATTGTGCTCTACATGCAAAAAAACTTCTAGAGAAAATCTTCCTAGCTTTAAATATACATAAATGCACAGGCTTCATTAAAAAAATAGGATCATATTCAAAGTAAAGTCTGTGTCAAATAAACAGAGAAAATAAAAAAGTGGTCAGTGGTAATAAGTATAATGCATAAAACTTAGTAAGTTTGGGGGCATTATTCCAAAATTATTTTAAATAAATCCCAAAGAAATGAAATATTTTACTATTAAATGGTTTCTTATTTTTCTGTATAATCATTGCTTCACTATATAAATATGGTACCAACACATACAATATATTGAAAAGGTAAAATATTCTTGAATTGTATATCATCTGACATTATATAATGAACAAAAAACACTCTCAGTTATTTCCAATAAGATGATCATTAAAGATCATGCTTTAATCCTAACCACTTGAAAGGCTGAGGATCAAGGTACAAGACCAGCCCAGGCAAATGATGAGACCCCCCCCCCCCGCATCTACCAAATAACCAGAGCAAAATGAACTGGAGATATGGCTTCATATCATTAAAAAAAAAAATCACAAGAAAGGGTTGGTGAAGTGACTCAAAGTATAAACCCTGGAATCAAACCCTAGTACCACAAAAAAAAAAAAGACTATCTGATATATTATTCCTGTTATTTGTAAATTGTACTTGTTATGCATTTAAGATGTATTTGAACTAAAAAATACCTCCCCTGTGCTTACCAAAGAAGTAAAAGCGAAAAAAAAAGTGTTCAGTTTTCCATTATAACTTTTTTTGTGGAGGCATGGGATTTGAACTCAGAGCTTTGTACTTGCAAAGCAGGTACTCTACCACTTGAGCCACAACTCCAGTCCATTTTGTTCTGATTATTTTGGAGATAGGGTCTTGTAAACTATTTTCCTGGGCTGGCCTCAAATTGCCATCCTCTTGCTCTCACCCTCCCAAGTAGCTAGGATTATAGGCATGAGCCACTGACTCCATTCTCATAATATTTTATCTTCTCTGTAACAGTTTGAAATATGGCTAAATAAGAAATAGAGAACTTCTGATCATTCCTAAACTAAGCCATATTATAGAACTTTAATATTCTTAACAAGATTGTGGAAGAGGTACAAATTATCTTTTTTTCAGCTATTACATACTTTAATTTTCCCCTTCAGTTCTTATTTAGTCATAATTATATAATCAAGTATATATTTCATACCAACAGTCTGTATATGGATGGTTTTCTAGCATTTAAATTATTCAAAATTCTTCTCTAGAATAGGATCATGGTAATAGTGTTCTCAAAATTTTTCATGTTGATATGTCCTTCATACTTGAAAGTCAGTTTTATTACATACAGTATCCTAGACTTGCATCTATCTTCCTTGAATAATATATTCCTTTTTCTTCTGATATAAAGCATTGCTGTTGGAAATTTAATCACAATCTAAAATTTCCCTTCCCTTCTCTTTTTACCTAGATAGGCAAATACATCTTTTCTTTAATATCTAGTAATTATTTTGGATTAATTATCTTGTAAACAGGTAGCCAGCCAGTTTGTTCCAGTGCCATGATTAAATAATCCATCTTTTTTTAACCGCTAATTTAAAGCCCCTATTTTAATTTGGGTCATTTCTGATCTCTGTTCTGCACTCTTACCCTCCTGCTTATCATTCAAGTTGCAAGAATAATACAATGTAAGTATTCCAACTCTCTGCTTAACCATGTCAGTGAATAAAGTCTTAGAATCAAGTTCACAGATCTGATATGGCTCACATACTCCTCTGTCCAGCTGTGACCTATTTCTACTCAGGCCACCTGGTCCCCTGCTCACCATGTTTCAACCATGTTGATCTTCTGGTTCCTTTTTTTGGGACATGCTTGCCCTTCTTTTGGTAATATTCTTTCCCTTATGGGTTAATGGTAATTCAGCTAAATATCTCTCATGAGGGCAGTCTTACCTCACTCCTCAGACTGACTAGTCTGCCTAGTTACATAGCCTCAACCTCTATACACTTTTCTTTTAGAGTACTCATTACATCTTTAAACGGTTATTTGTGACAGTGCCAGAGGTACACACCTGTAATCCTAGCTACCCAACACAAAAACAAAGCTGGGAGAGTGGCTCAAGTGTAAGAGTGCCTGCTTAGCAAGTGTGAGGCCCTGAGTTCAAACCTCAATATCAAATTTTAAAAAGCTAGTTTTTGTATCATTACTCATTATCTATTTTCCCTGATAAGATTAAAATTTCAAGAGGGCTTTATGTTTCTTGATCATTGTTATATCTATAGTGCCTGGAACATTTTTTGTTGTTGTTGTTGGGTTTGGGGTTTGAACTCAGAGCTTCGCTCTTTCAGAGCAGATGTTTTACCACTTGAGCCACACCTCCAGTTCATTTTAGTCAGGTTATTTTGGAGATGGGCTCTCTACAACTATTTGCCCAGGCTGGCCTCGAACCTCAATCCTTCTGCTCTCAGCCTCCAAGTAGCTAGGATTACAGGTGTGAGACACCAGCACCCAGCAGGAGACATTCATTAAATACTTGTGGAATAAATATAACAGCATCTTCACATGGACTGTAGTCTAGCAAGAAGATGGCAATAATTAATTGCAACACAATGCTATTAAATTAATTGTGTGTGTGTTTGTGTGTGTGTGTGTGTGTGTGTGTCTGTAGAATCATTTACCCCATGCAAAAGAGGAAAATCAAAATCAGTCCTGATGTGGTTCACACCCAAGTCACCAAACCTATTAGGATCCAAGTGTAAATGGGATAAATAAGTAGAGGGTGACAAGTGATGGTAAAGCACATGCACACATTACCACCTGCAGAGGAAAGAAGCACCCAAGCTGGGTGAGAATTGGTATTCTCTGAGTAGGTGAGTGCTGAGAGCAGAAACAATAGGACTTAGTTGGTTCTAAGGTAGTGGTTATCAGGAAGAGGGAGGTGTGAGGGATAAAAGCAATTGTACTTCAAGCTGATGGAACAGCATGCACAAAGGCCTCAATGGTGAGAGGGAAAGAGAGAGAGAGAGAGAGAGATTGAGAAATGACAGAGAGCACAGGGAGGAAAGAAGAAAGAATACTCAGAAAACATAGTGCAAACATGAGAAGTGGGGAAGAAGGAGCAAGCCTGGGGCTTGTTAGCCAATTTTAAGATCTGGACTTTGTTCAATGGCTAGTGGGGGTGCCATTGAACCAGTAAAGTTTCAGAGGACAGGATGATAGCTGCATTCTACAAAGATCACTCTGATGACAAGACCAAGAAGGAAGGCCAAAGAGGTGATTGGTACTGTCATCTTATCTGGGCAGCACATTCTCAGGGTCTAGCTAGTACTGATCCTGACCAAGATCTTCTTAGAGAGGGAGAGAAAAAGGTTGTGGAGAAACTGCTCTGTTGGGGAGCCCTGGGTGTTAACAGAGAAGGCAAGTGGGTTATGCTGGTGTGCAGCATCTCCCTTTCTACCACTGTGGATCTGGGCAGCTGTGATGTACCACAGTCTTCATTATCATTGTTTTGTATTTAGTGCAAAAAACTGCAAGAGTCCAGAGTGATCTGTTGTTTGAGGCAATGCAGGACAAAGGCAATAGGGAGCAGGCCATCCTTGAGATACAAAAGAGATTTGAAACTGTAAGTATAAACCCCAATTTAGTTTTTTTGCTTGTTTGTTTTTTGAGATAGAGTCTAACCATGTTGCCCAAGCTGGTCTCAAACTCCTGAGCTCAAGTGATCCTCCTGCCTCAGCTGTATGCCACCTTGAAAGCAAGTGTGTTTTGAGCTTTGTTGCCAAGTCCCAGAGAGACTCCTTTAAAATTGCAAATTTTCAGATAAGATCACAGGCCAGCACAAACCTCTTGGTAATGAGCCAAGGTATAGACTGTCTTCCTTCCCCAGTGTTCCCATGTAGGATGTGGGCCCTTGTCCCTGCTCCATATGTAGCCATGCTTATCCTGCAAGCCGCCCTGGAAGGGACAACCTTTGTCTACTGGTTTGTTCTCACATTTTATTGTACCTTCTTACTTGCACTGTCCATCATTCTCTTCTTTCTCACTGCATCTACCCAGAAACAAGCAGAGTTTATGGAAATGAAGTCCAGCCTGAAGCACCTTGAAAATTTAGTTGCCCAGCAGAGTAAGGACTTTCAGCAGCTTTGTGAGCAACTAGGACAACTGAATGTTCCTGGTGTCCTAGAAGAGATAAAGAGATTGATCTTGGTGCCTCAGGTACCTAAGCATGTGAAAGACAGCACTTCTCAGACTTCACCATCTCTGACCCAGAGCCTCAATTTCACCAGACAAGAAAAGTACACCTCTGAAGAGTCAGGTACTTGGCAGGCCCAGGCACCCTCTGATGCAAGGAATTCTAATACAGGCTTTCTGAAACCTGGAGAGTTTGCTGTCTGGGATGAGGGAGCAAAGAGTGATGGTCTCCAAGAAGAGACTGTGCTGCCAGCAGTTGGGCCCCCTAAAGGAGATGGGTATGTAAAAAAGGCTATCACTAAAATAAGTCCCAAGAACCATGGCTCTAGCATTCCAGGATACAAGGTTTGTGGTGACAGGGACTTGTTTTCCCAAAATGCCTCACAGCTCATATCCCAGGACTTAAACAATTTTGCAACCACCATTAGGAATGTCTGCCCAAAATATCAAGCCCAATGCATGTTTTCTTATGACCCATGTGAACAGTTGGTGACTGAACAGAAAGGTAGGACTGTAGGAAGAGGGAGGAAAGGCAAGAAGCCACAGCCAAAGAAAGCCCCCAGAGGCAGGCTCCTGGATAGGAAGCAAGAACAAACCCCAAGCAAGACCTATACTTTCATTTCTAAATATCAGAGTCCCCAGGCTCCAATGGGACAGCAGGAATCTCTTGCTAAGCCCCTGCATCTGTGGAGTCCCAGAAGTTCCACAAAGTCAGATTGCCGTATTATGGGAGAAACATCCAAGCCCAGTAAGATAGCAAGAAGATCCACAAAGCCAGTTTGCCATGTTCTAGGAGGAACAGCCAGTAAGACAGCAAGAGCAGCTGAAGGGAGCCTTTTGCAGTTCACCAGGTACTCTTTCCAAGACAACAAGCTGCTATCCAGCAGTTCCCAGGGGGACCACCAGATGAGCTGGTTCAGTGACCTCAACCTTGAAGATTCAGAGCCTCTTCTGTGTAAGCAGGAAGGGAAGACTTTGTTCTATGACCTGGGTTTTGATAGTAGTGATGATGACTTCTGACCAGCCAACAGTGACTTTAGCTGATGATTTATTAATCTCAGCTAGAAGGACAAATTGCAGAGCATTTGGACAGGGCAATAGCAGAAAGTTGTAGAAGCCTGCTTGGATGACAGCAGCCTACTTGGGAACAGTGGAGGGGAGGGGCAGGTCCAATGCTCTGGGTATCACTTGCTGTCCATGACAACAGCATAAGGGATAAATGTGTCCTTATTTATTGGAATGAATTGTATGGAGATGGTGGTGATGAGAACTGGGGAAGAAGCCTGATAGTGGGGCATGAAGAAAGTGGTTGTATTTGGTGAAAGAGGGCTAACTTCCTTATGGAATATTGGGTAGCAGAAGAGCTTTCACAAAACTGTTGCTATGGCAGCCAAGCACAATATTTTTGTTCCTCAAAGTACTCCCTACGTGATCAATACCTTTCTGGGCCTCGGGATTTTTTTTTTTCATATCTTTTCAGTTATGCTGTCAGAGTTTACAAATTTTGATCAGTCAGTGGGACCTATTGTGGACGCACTGTCAGTTTGCTTGTTTTAGGGTTTTTTGTTGTCATTTGTTTGAGACTGGGTAGCCCAGACTGGCCTCAAACTTGCAATCCTACTGCCTTTGTCTCCAAAGTGCTAGGATTACAGATGTATACCACCATATGCAGCTCTAACTCAATCTTATGAACAGAGAAAGACTATTAACGCTGCCAGTGAGAGAGAGGTGATATGCATCAAATGACCATCTGGAATATCACTGCTCCTAATTCACGAGTCTCTTTTTCTTCTTGGCTGTTTTTGCCTGTTCTGCTTTTCCAGAACTCTTTTTTTTTTTTCTTTTTTCACAACAGGATTGACTGATAACTTTTTTGTTTTGTTTTGGTCTTTTGGCAGTACTGGGGTTAGAATTCAAGACCTCACGCTTACTGGGCAGGTGTTCTTCCGCTTAAGCCATACCTCCAGTCCTCGACCACCCTTTAAACTTAATGGTAGTGTCTGTAGGCTCTGTATTATTGCTGGAGAGTAGTAGCTTATACAAGACTTTGGCTTTCCATTTATATCTTGAAGTTTTTTTGGTTTTTTGTAATTTTTGCAACACACATGTGTTTCTTTTGTAGTGAAAAATGAATTGCTGGGCTTGATGGTACATGCTTGTAATCCCAACATTTAGGCGGCTGAAGTAGGAGAATCACAAGTTTAAGGCCAGTCTGGGATACATAGTGATAGCCTGCCTTAAAACAAAAACAAAAACCAGCCAGTTGCCAGTGGCTCATGCCTGTAATCCTAGCTACTCAGGAGGCAGAGATTAGAAGGGTGGCAGTTCAGAGCCAGCCCAGGCAAATAGTTTGCAAGACCTATCTTGAAAAAAACCCATCACAGAAAAAAAAGGACTGGTGGAGATGCTCCAGGTGTAGGCCCTGAGTTCAAATCCCAGTAGCACAAAAAAACAAACAAAAACCAAATCAACAAATACCAAACATAAAGATAAAACCTTTAAGCCAGGTGCTAGTGGCTCATGTCTATAATCCTAGCTACTTGGGAGGCAGAGATTAGGAGGATCGCTGTTCAAGGCCAGCCTGGTCAAATAGTTCTCGAGACCCTACCTCAAAGCACAACACAAAGCAGAGCTGGCAGAGTGACTTAAGTGTTAGAGTGCCTGCTTAGCAAGTATGAGGCCCTGAGTTCAAACCCCAGTACCAGCCTCCAAAAAAAAGATAAAACCTTTAAAAGCATATGCATTTTTCATTAAGTTTACTGAATTTAATAAAAGTTAAATTTCTTTTAATGATACAGGCCTCAGTGCTTGCTAGGCAGGCACTCTAACACTTGAGTCACTCCACCTGCCCTAAACTTCTTAAGAGATCAACACAAAGGACTGCCAGAGCGGCTCAAGTGGTACAAGCCTTGCAAGTGTGGAGCACTTAAGTTCACCCCAGGGGCAGGGAGAGAGAGAAAGAAAGAAAAGAAAAATTAACAAGAAACTAACTGGGCACTGGTGGCTCACACCTGAAATCCTAGCTACTCTGGATACAGAGATCATGAGGATCAAGGTTTGATTTGCCAGCCTGGGCAAATAATTCTTGAGACCCTGTCTCAAATACCCAACACAAAAAAGGGCTGGAGATGTGGGTTCAAGTGGTAGAGCATCTGCCTAGCAAGTGTGAGCTCTGAGCTCAAGTCCCGATGCTGCCCCAAAAAAAGAAATCAACAAGATAGATGCATTCCATTTTTTATTTCCTAAAGCTTTTACAAGATGATTTTGAAAAAACAACAAACTGTTTTTTAATTTTTTTCTGTATTGTATGAAAGTGAAAATCCTGCCTTCGAAGACAGAAGGATTGTAAATTTGAGACCAGCCTGGACTATATTTTAAGACCCTGCCAAAAAAAAAGAAAAGAAAAAGTGAAAATCTGGGCTTGGGAACATGGCCCAACTGGTAGAGCACCTGCCTAGCAAATGCAGAACTCCTAGTTCAAACCCTAGTACCACCAAAAAAAATAAAAATAAAGTGAACATCCTCATGGGATGAACAGTTTCCAGAATTTGTCCATTTCCATGCCAGTAAGGTAAAGGACATTGGACCCACTAAGTGGACTGTTATATAAAGCAATGGTTCTTGATTTCTTATTCCTTATTTTCAGGGATGTGCATCTCATAAAAGTGGAGGAGTTCTGCTTGAATTTGCTTGTGATACCCTTGACTGGGGTGCCAGATACCAACCTAGGCTGCTCTAACTCTTCTTTCCAGAGCAAGGGCCTCCTGTGGCCTAGAGTTGGGAGCTATGACCAGTCACAGCAACCTCTCTGAGGCCAAGAATGTTCAGATCAGCTCTGCTTCAGACTGCCCTGATCTCTTCTCCCTGTGGACTATATTGACTATCTACTTACTCTGCCCTCAGCAGCCTCATTTGCCTCCCCTACTGGACTTCATTTCATTACTTAGAGATCACAGGGCCTTGTATCTGGAATTTTATTTAAGTTAGTTTAATACTTAGTCATTTTAATTAAAAGCTCTGTTGAGAGAACCCCTTTAGGTTTTTTTTTTTTTTGCATTTTGGAGTTTGAACTCAGGGCCTCATACTTGCTAGGCAGGCGCTCTACCACTTGAGCCACTCTGCCAGCCTTTTTTGGATTGGGTAATTTTCTTTTCTTTTCTCTTCCTTTTCTTTCTTTTTTGGTGCTGGGATCGAATACAGAGCCTCATGTATGCTCTACCACTGACCTACATTCCAGTGCTGGGTTGAGTTTTTCTGAGATAGGGTCTCAAGAACTATTTGCCCAGGCTGGCTTCAAACCTCGATCCTCCTGATCTCTATCTCCTGAGTAGCTAGGATTATAGGCATGAGCCACTGGTGCCCAGCTCCATCAGTATTTATAATTGTGGCCTTCCATTTGAAGGGTCCAACTTTAAAATGCCAAAGAAAGACCATCTGTTCTTTCATTCTACTGTGTTATGACATGCTGTATTTCTTCAGAAATATTTAATTTTGTGTAATAAAGTCAAAGTTCAGAGTAACTCAGTGTTTCATGAGTTGGGTGTGTTTGTAGATGAGCAGTAAACTTATCTCCTAACAAGGCTAGGTTAATTAAAATTATGCTGCCTGTCTCTGGCGATCCTCAGGGAAGGATATTCTGTTTCTTATTTTATTCCTAAGGGTTTTTTTTTCTTAATTAACTACCATGTTCCTGCCAGACTTGGTGAGCGTGACACAGCCCAGGCATGTCCTTGGAGCACGCAACGTTTTTGGCTTCTCAGATGCTCCTTGAGCTGTATGTGGCTACACAGGGGCGGATATGGTGGGAGATCTAGGGTGGGGGAACTGGAAAGCCTCTCAGGGCTTCTCCCTTTGTTACAACTCCAGCTACAGCCAAGGATGGAAATGAAGCTGACTGCAGCACCTAATTGAGATTCCAATATCAATTTAGATGTCACCAGGGAAAGGCCTTTCCTGACCTCCCTATTCACCCTACTCACTACCCATTCCTTTGCCTGTTTTGTCTCACACTGATTCATCTGAAATTATATATTAATTTGTATACTTGTTTCATTTGCCCAGGGAAATAAACTCCAGAAGCAAAAGCAGCATCTACCTTGTCTCTGCTGTGTCCCCAGCATGCAGGAGAGTGTTTGACTCTAGTACATTCTTGACCTATACTTACTGTGTTCTTCAGCAAACAGATTCTTGTAGCCCTGTCGTAAAAGTGGGACCTTTCTATGGCATCTCTTTATAGCTTCCTTTTTTTTTTCTTGCGGTACTGGGGTTTGAACTCAAGGCCTTCACCTTGAGCCACTTCACCAGCACTTTTTTATGATGAGTTATTTTGAGATAGGGTCTCATGAGCTATTTGCCCAGGGTTGTCTTTGAACCGTGATCCTACTGATCTCTGCCTCCTGAGTAGCTAGGATTACAGGCGTGAGCCACGGGCATCTGGCTCCTTTTTTTGTTTTTATTTTGTCTCAGAAGTTCCAAAGGACTCCTTCCTATAAGATGGCTACTTCCCTCTCCCAGGCCAATTCTAGCAACTCCCACCTCACCCAAAGCGTCCAGAAAACAACAGCCTCTTTGGCTTCAAGAAAGATAGTGAATTCCTACGAAGGTTGGATAGTTTCAAATTTTTTTTATTCCAGGTCTTAGACCAATAAATTATGCATTTTCCAGACAGCCTAGGACACAGAGTCCTTCTACACTAGGGCCAAAATCCATTGTCAAATAGATTTCCTGAGTAAAACTTTGTTCCCTCTGTAAATATTTAGTTGGAACCTAAAATATTAATGCTCCCCTACATAAAAGAGAAAATAAATTACCAGAACTTCAGATTGTCTCAGGATGACAGAGCCTTTTCATAATCATCAACAATCAGGTGAGCCAGGCACCACCAGTGATTCATGCCTGTAATACTAACTACTTGGAAGACTGAGATAGGAGAATCACGGTTTAAGGCCCTCCCTGGCAAATAGTTGTTCAAAGCCAGCTTGGGCAAATTGTTCATCAGACCCTATCTCAATACAAAATAG